TATTTTCATTATCGTTATCTTGTTTATTTTTCAAGTAAATTCTCATGAGAATACGTTTTTTTCTTCTTCTTCTTCTAGTTACTAAATGATAAACAACTCTTTTGTCAAGTTCAGTCTTGTAGGTTAAATTAACGATAAAATATTTGTGTTTTTCATTATAAGGCCAAGTATCTTCATACAAACAACATAATAAAGAAGAAGAAGAAAAAAAAAGAGAATCTATAAAATATCTATCTGATATTCTCCTTGATAAACTTGACGTTTTTTCTCTTGTCTTTTCAATGGCATTGTATGTGTGTGTGCAAGGTCTTTTCGATCGTTCTTCAATATGTAAAGACATCATATTTTTGTTCTCGGTCTTTTTTTCTTATCCAAGGTCTACATAACAACATTACACCATAGGGATAACAACAACAACAATAACAACACTAGAATTCTTTCTTGTCTCTATCATTAGTCGAGTACGTGTATATTGAAAAATAAAGTCAAAATACGACGACATACGCGTACATTTATATTGGAAAACATAAATGATAATAACAACGGATGTTTTTGAAGGTTTTGTCATCAGTAAGTAATAGAGTCATATAAACGCCTTCATATATGCAATTGCAAAGCAAAAACACGACTTCACCTTCACCGAGAAGGAAAAAAGAGACAGAGACAGAGAGAGAGAGAGAACGGAAAACAAAAAATGACATGAAGGCTTGTATAAGAGAAAGAAATAAAAAAAAAAGGAGATTTTTTTGTTTTCGCTTATTTTACAGCATGCAACCCATTTCGATTAAGGTCATTTGTTTATTATAATATTTGGGACAGAGTTCGATTTGTTTATACGATACTGTCATTTTATAATAAAACATAAAAAACGAAAACGAGAACTTAGGTATATAATTTTGTTTTTTGAAGTGGATAAGTACAAGATAGATACGAGCAATCGTCTTAGAAAAATAATGGTAAGATAATATTAAGCTATGCGAGCTTATCAAACATTAGAACATATATGATATATAAACTCCTATTAAGAATTGATTACATCCGCTCAAGGTTAACACTTTCCGGTGTCATTTACATAGAGGTGTGTACCATTTATTTAGTTCTTGTCTTCATCTTTGTTTCTAGCATTCAAGGTCATCAAAACTTATTTTTACATGCCCTTCTTTCTTTCTCTTCTCTCTTTCTTTCCCAACCTCATTCATTCATGAGCATCAACCGAGCAAGAATGAAAGTAAGAGAGACCGAGGGAGAGAGAGAGGGAAAGAACCGTATTTTGTCCTTCTCTTCTTTCTTCCTTCAGGCTACTCTCGGCTGCCGATGTTGCTGTTTACAGCGTGTGTGTGTGTTTGTGTACGAGGAAGAAAAAGATAGATATACAGAATGAGATAAATAGACATCGACTATAGTTGTTAATAGTTTTTTTTTGTGACTTTCAGATGTATACTTCAATGACAATATTGCACCAAATTGAAAAATATAATCTATGCTGACCAAATATCAACTACTTTAGTTGTATTAAAGTGGTAAATATCGTTTTATTTTTCTTCTTCTTATTCATATTACTATAAATCAATAATCTGAATAAAAAAACAAAATTCTATTTATTTAAGATAATTCGACATTAAATCGATGAATTTAACAAATGATTCTAGTGAAAATGATAATGATAAAGATTCCTCGAGTGATGAAGATGATGATGAAGATAATGAAAATCTATTTATTAATTCACCATCGATATTAGTAGACAAATTCTTTTGTACTACTACTACTAATAATATCAATGAAGAATTTGACAGTAATAGTGATGATGACATTAGTGATATTGAAAATCATTATTTTTCGGATGATAATAATCAATCACCAAGACAAAATCGTTTATGTACCATATTACGACAATCAAATCCTCTTGTTCAATTAAAATTAAATCTAATTCATAATAATAATCAATCATTATTACGTGATGCTATATCCGATAGTGATATGTCGAAACAAGGACATCATATATTTCGTTTACGTCGTCTTTATTTACCATCATCATCAAATAATGAATTACAAACTCAAATAACAAATTGGTTACAAGCAAGTACATGTTTAATTGATTCGATATCAACATCAACATATCATCGACGATGTTGGTCACAATTATTATTAACATATTTTATTGAACGACGTTTTGTTAATTTACAATTTATTCTTTGTACACATTCAATATTATTAACAACAATTGATCATGATTCATGTTCAATACATCAACATGCATGTGTACCAGAAGAAGATGCATATAAATTATGTTCGATTTTACAAAAAGGTTCACGATTTAATATTGATTCAAATATATTTGATCATATACGTCGTATTATTGTTATTAAAAGTATGCAAGAAGGTAAGTTGGATATTTTTTGTTTTTGCTCAAAATAATTGTGTGTTGATTTGTAGCAATTAATGATAATACAAATTTACAAGAACTATATGTTAAACAATTAACAAGTCTTAAACAATCATTAAATCATCAACAATCATCTGTAACGAATATAAATGATAATAATATAACAATAAATGTCGCATCAATTTATTCAAAACTTCTACTTTTTCTTTCAAGTCTTTATTCGATCAAAGCTGAAACGATGCAAACACTTTTTTGTCAACATCTTCTACACAATCCGATGTATTCCTATCTTGTTACTTCATGATTTCAATTTCTTTTCTGTCTCTCTCTCTCTCTCTCTTTCTTCAATTGAAATTGTGTATTGTGTGCTTATTGTGTATCCCGGTTGACGATTTATATATTGAAGTATATATCGTCGTCTCGGTCAGATCATGTAAACGTTTGTATGTGTATGGATGTGTATGTGCAGCGAAACGGTGAATGATTTCAGAAAAAGAAAAATTAACTTTATTTTATTTGTTGATGATCAGAATAATTATTTCTATAATATTTTTTTACTATAATTTAAAAATTATGTGATATGACATAATATCAAAAACATAGCTTTTGTACCGTAAGTAAGAATGGACGAAATTAGTTTTTTCCTTGTTAGATTTGAGTAGACATGGCCCAAGCGGTTTGGGCATTTTCCAGTTGTCATTTATGTATACAAATAATACCTTCCGTATATGAAAAGTAAGCAGAAAAAGCCTTCTGGGCGTCATATATGTATGTAGCCGACACAAACTGAAATAGAAACTGTCAGTCAAGTTTGGATTATGTCTAGATTCGATCAGAATGTATATACATTGGATCGAAAATTATAAATAATTTGTTGAGTTTTGAATTTCTAGTTTTTGAAGAAAGGTATTAGCAAATATGAATAAAATTCTGTGGCGGAGGAAAAGATTTCATAATAGTTATATGTTACATGTTTCCGATAACGATTAGACCAAAGTGTGATTAAATTTACAACAAGTAAATTGTTCGGAAAATGACGTTTTGTACCACCTTTTCATTCCGCACACCGAATAGTGAGGATGTTCGAAACGGACTTCATGTCGGAAAACAGGATGTTCAGAAAGGGTGGTACAAAACGTCATTCACCCAGATTGTTTTGTTAATGCAAAATATCCCATGTAAAAAATTTGACCCATAAAAGTGACTATTAAGTACTTTCAATAGTTGGTTTTTGACAGAGAATAGTACTTATAAGTGAACGTTTTTAAATATTTTTCATACTTTGAAGCTAGTAGAAATATGATTAAATACTTTGATAGGTGGGAAAAGTATTCTAAAGTACTACGCAAATTGAAAAAGAATAAAAAAAGTCACTTTATTTTACTTTATTAACATGAAAAACTACTTATAAGTGAACTTTGTTCACTTTTTTTTTTACATGGGATTTAACAAATTAGCATAGACAATTCGGATTTTATAAAGGACTGTATTGAAATCCAAGTTATTTTAACCCACACTTGGGAAGAAATGAATATAACTTATTTTAGATAGTGACTAGAAAATGTTGCTTGCAGCAATTATTTTTTTCCGAATTTTCTAAAATCACAAATAAGAAGTTTGAATTATACATAATAGTTCGAAGTATAAGCGTTAATAATCTATTCATTTCATTTTGTAAAGTGATGTCAAGTAAATATACTGATGAACAGTTTCGTCAATGAAGTAATAAATTCAATAATATACATAATTGATTTTTTAGCTTTATTATTCTTTTGTAAATAATATATTATTGAATAATTTAATAATAGTAGACTTTGTAAGTCAATATTTCTAATATTGACTTTTTGTAACTATATTTAATCATAAAGTCTCTGTTTATAGTTTTTCTAATTATATAACTCGAAGTAGTGAATGTTTACAATCCTTTTCCTACTTCAGGGATAGTTAATTATCCTATTTGAACCATATATACTATGTGAACCTATTACCCACTTTTGCTTTTGAGATTTCAGTAAAAAGACTCGCGAATGTTTGTTTTCGTACTCTAATATAATTACTACAAAAGTTGATTATTTTCTTATCTATTTGCATCAAAATGCATTGAATAACTTGATTTTACATAATTTTTATGCTGTTTTCGACTAATTTTGCAGAACAACTATCTAGGTCGATTATGTGGGGAAAACATTGAATAGAATTGATTATTGCAAAATTTGAAGATTTTTCTACTATGTTTATTTGTTTGAGACTAAATTTTTAAATAAATTAATATAAGAGATAAATAATCTAAATTTAAGAACAATTGAATTTATTCTATTTTGACATTTATTGAAAATACGTTATATACATTGTATCTTCGTTGATTTTTTTTACAAACAAAATAAATTATTCAAGTGAAAAAAATTCTGTATGACATTGGTTACTTCCGAAGTCAAGAATAATAATATAATACACATGAAATACAATATAATAATTTATCTAATCAATATTGACATATAGATATGTCTAATATGTATATGATTATGTTCTTAGAAATAAAAATTTCTTTATTCTTATAATATGTATATATTATCATTTATAATTCTTTTTTTGCAAAAAATGTACGAAGTAAATAAAGCTATGTCGATGATGTATTTGAAGTAAAATTATGATATTCATTTGTTACTGTGTTTAGTGACATAAGTATTCGAGATTGAAGATGAACTGATGGATGATGTGCACCGGATTTAGTACGAACAAGTTCATCAATTTTAGGTGCCATTTTAAGTGTAAGTGCAACGATACCAGCACATAATAGAATTATTAAAAGTCCAATAATACTTATGATTCGTGTAATAATACGTTTTTTTCTATCAGCCGCTGCTATTAAACGTTGTTTTTTCATTTCTAATAGATTAGGTGGTATTCGATCGCTTGTTGATGCAGACGATATTCCAGTATTCGAAGTGTTCATGCTAGTTTTTTTACCAGTATATTTTTGTTGTTTAAGAAAAGTAACATGTGGTTGAGCATCATCATTATCTTCAATTAATATTGACGATGGTGAACGATGTTGTGTTGATTTGGTTGTTGTAGGAGCGAGTGGCATTAATATAAGATATGTCAGTACATTTGTAAGATCAAATTATTAATGAATCTGAGAATATGTAAAGAAACAATCTATAATAAGAGAAAATTATATATACTATGGTTCTCGTTTCTCTATCTCTTAAACTTAAGAAAAATATTGTGAATTTATTTGAAATAGAAGAAAAAATGACAATTGACTAAAATGAGCTACGATGATGGCAAGGAGTAATCATTCTATTAGAACTTCTAACTATGAAGAAAACATGATGAACTAGGAAATTCAACAACTACAGTCTGAATAGAGAAATTTATAATACAATTATAGACTAACTAATTGTATTAAGTGTCATATTTGCTTCGAATATTCATTATTCAGCAAATCATCATATCTAATAGTCAATGCATATTTGTTTATTAGATGAGATGTAGTGATCATAGAAAAGAAGGAAATAGAGAAAAAAAATGATACCAATATAAAATCGTCTAAACTTCCTGGAGTTGACGTTCTATAGCAGCCAATTACAACTGCTCGTATCATTTTATAGAAAACAATGGAGTAAAAGAAAAAAAATACGATTATGTTTGTTTTTCTTTTCTGTTCTCTAATGTATTCTATTGGAATTTTTTATTATTATTTTACTTTCTTATAGACAAAAACAAACAAAAATCTTTATAGATTCTCTCCTCTTCTTTTTCTTCTTCTTAATCATCTTCTTTTCCTGAATACACGCATACGTCGTTTCTATATATTGTCATTACTTTTTTTGCTTGGTCGATTATTTATATGTAAGGGAATAGAGAGAAAGAGAGCGAGTGAATATGAAGCATTAACCACAACAGCAAATTGAAAAACATTCCTATATGAGCAGTCATACATAAAAATTAATTATGATGACGCACACGAGTCACAAATGTGTATAAAGATCAATTGTTATTTAGTTTTCTCGATGAAAAAAAGCCTATGTCGGAAAAAAAAGAAATAGAAATAGGGGAAATAAATATTCTATTAGAATTCACTTAGTAAAAAAAAAGAAAACTTGAGACTATTTATTTGCTCTACATACAGTTTGATAGTAGGAGAAGAAATCATTATTTGGTATCAGCTGGTAAATAAATCAAAAAAAAATGAAAGACGTTAAGATAAATGTCATATGAAGATACTTCAAATAAGACGACAAGAAAAAAAAATGAGCGTGATAATTAACGGAGAAATACAATGGTGAATATTTTTTTTTCATGAATTTATTGCTTGTAAATAGGTAGAAATTGACTTTGACAATGTGCTATTTTTAATTTGATTATATGTAATAAAATGATGAATAAGTTCTTACTTTATTGTTTGACAAGTTGTTTTTTCTGGATGTGCTTCATAATGTATACAGAAAGAGAAAATAAATACAAACTACTTGTCTATTTTGTGTTCTTATACCAATGAAATCCTAGTACTCTTGTAATTCAAGCTGATCGATAGGTCTAAAAGTGCGATTAATAACTGTTATTATTATTGTTTCGAACCATTGACTATAACCTTGAATACAAAGATCCAAAAGAGAAAAACCAACAAATGATGTTAGTTTTAAAAGAAAGTTTTTGATGGAGATAAAGTGAATGTTAGTAGCATGATAACCATAACAAAAGGAAAAGGAAGTTAAAGATTGTAAGACAAGAGATTAAGATAATTGATTGTCCTTATATACAAAACATCATTTGGTAAAGTATTGTTTACCATGTTAACTTTCATTTATTTTCTTCTCAAGAGACTCTTTCGTGACTTGAATAGATGCACTGATTTCCCCTACGTGCATGTCTAGTGTAAATAATAAGTAAATAATTTTAAATTATTTATTGTAGCAAAAAAGGAAAGTAATTACACTAAGAAATAAACCGTAATGAAATCTATTTGTTAAAAATAGAATATGAGAAATAAGACTTTTTCTTTTAATATATTTAACCTTCCCTTTCTTGATTTTTTTATTTATTGATCATCATTTAAGACGATATATTGATAAAGTAAAAGAAAAGCTTTTAGAACAAATCAGAAGAAGAAAAAAAAGAAAGAATATTATGTTTCCGGAACGAATCTAACTCGTTTAATATTGTTATTTAATGATGATTCCGTTGAGACATTGACATCTGTTGATGAAAAAGTGCGTTTATTTTGTAAAAATTCATCCATATTTATCTCCTAAAAAATAAATATGATTAAAACAAATACGTCATAGTTTATTTTTTGTATATTTACTAATGGTTTTTCTATTGCTTGTATTAATAATTGATGAATTTCTTCAATATTTTTCATAACTAATTCTGGAATTAGTTTACAACTTGCTCGAATTCCTTGCACATCTCTACAAATACATAATTCTAATGAAAAATAATTAAAACAAAATATTTACTTTGGTACTAATTCAGCTAAATGAATTAGCATTAGATCGGGTGTAACATAACTATAATATGACACAAAAAAAAAAAGGATTTTTCTATGTTAATTTAAATAAGCAAAAAACCTACCTGGTTGATTCATCTTCTTCTCGAGCTATTTTATCACGCCAAGCATAGAGTAGTTTTAATGCAGCTAATTGGATACCATCGAATGTTGTTTTATGACATTTTGTATAAAGAATTTTATATGCATTTTCATCAAACACTGGTTTCTTGTATAACTAATTAAGAAAAAAAAATAAATTTCGACTCTGTCACTTCAATTTTAAGACAGAACGCGTGTTAATTTAAAAAACATTCCAATCTAATTAATTAAATTTGTTTCATTCATAAAGTGCATTTGCAATAATATTAATGAAAAAGGTCTAAATAGATTGACACTGATTCAATATACGTCACAAAATATGAAAATCTTATGTTTATATCATCTCTATCGATAACTGATATATTCTCTATGTTTCTCAGGCATTCTTGATATTGATTTTCATCACTACTTAAGTTGCGATAAGCTTTTCTCGTAAGTAGAATCTATCTAAAATATCTTCCATGTAACAGTCGAGTTTTGCGTAAGTTTCTGGATCGAGCTAAGTGTGCTCCAAATTTGGAGTTTACGGATGTCTAAGTTTTCGCGAAAAACTCTACCTGAAAACTGTAATGATCTGTTTTTGATTGGTGAAATATATACTCTTGACTACATTGAGTCACTGGTAGAGCCCATCGGGTCCGGGTCCAGTTCGAAAGAGATATGTTATCAACATAATATTTTTTTTGAATTTCTTTAATTTTTTATTCATTTCATTCAAAAAGTTTTCAATTTATTTATAAAAATAATAGAAAAAATAACAACAAAACTATTTTCGAAGCAAATATCAGATTTCAAGTAGGAAAATTTACTGAGAGTCTAAAAGTATAGTTTGAGTTCAGGCAAGTGCTCATCGAGATCGGGTCCAACCTAAACCCGGCCTTGGCTTCGGGTCCGGGTCTAAAAAAATTTTATTGAACGGGTCCGGGTCCAAAAAACCGGGGATCCGAAGGACTCTAGTCAATGGACCGTGCTTAAGAACGAAAGTGTGAAGTAACAAGCTGCAATTTATTGAAAAACTTATAATTCTCAACCAGATTTTTGCTAGATTACAAACATATGTATCATTGATAACTTAGAATTCATGACTATTTTCTTACCTTTTGACAAACAATTTTCGATTTTTTATAAACTGATTGAAGAGCATCGGAGCTTTTCTCAATTAATTGATTTCGTAAACGATCATAAATATACAAAAGATAATGTGTATCTTCTTGAGCATATCGAAGATATTCATTAGGTAATGGTCTAAATGAAGAAAAAGAAGCAAAACATTTAATTTCCATTAAAAATTCCTAACAAACCGTATTCTCCAATCAGCTAATTGAAATTGTTTACTCGCATCAATATTACAATAAGTTTTCAAAAGATATGCAAGTGATAAAGTCGGTAATTTAAGTTCTTTTGCTGCTTGATGTGTATCAAACATATTTACAATATAAATACCAAAATCTTTTTGTAACCACTCTATATCCCAATCAGCACCATGAAATACCTTTTGAATTAAAACAAAAAAATTCTATTTTCCAGAGAATACAAAAAAGATTACTTTAACAATTTTTGGATTTGTAAAAACATTATTAAGAACCGATAGTTCATCTCGAAGAATAAGTGTATCAATTAGAAAATCTTCTGTACGTGATGATATTTGCATTAAACATGTAAAACCTTGATATGATCTATATGAATGATGCTAAGATCGAAAACAAACCTAAATATTTTTTTCAAGTTTAAAATACAATTTACTTCTAAATCAACAGCTAATTCCGATTGTATTTCAATATGATCCATCATAGTTTTTAATTTATCAAGTGAATCAACAAATAAACATTTTGTTTCTTCTATTGCTTTTGGGTACTGAGGCATAACTGATTTTAAAAGTATTTCATCAGGTTGAAATGCTTCGATTTCATCAAAATATGGGTGATCTAATCTAAAGTAATACAAAAAAACCGAAATAGTTCAATTCGCTTTAGCATTTTATATTTACACTTCAGGATGTCTTTGTAATAACTCAAGATCAATGGGTTCCATATCCATCTGCATTATAATCGCTAAAAAAATTTTTATCTTTGAAAAATAAATCGAATTAATTGAAAACGAACTTGGTAATGGTGTTAGAGCATTTGGTTTATTTCGTATTTTTGGAATGAAAGGTATTTGTGTACTATTATTAATTTTATGTTTAAATTTTAATTGTGGTTTTTCTAAAACTTGTCGCTAGAAGAAAACAAAAATAGAGATTCGAATGATAATAATAATAAATTCTTATTTACAACGGTTGTTGATACAGAAGTTTTTGTTATTCCATCAGCTTCATCAAGTGCTGATGCCTAAGAATAAATAATTTAGAAAAAAAAAACAAATAAATATTTTTACAATTCGTTCAAATAATGTATCATTAATATCAATTAATTGTTCGAGTTTTTCATCTGTATCAAATTGATTCCAATTTGAGGATTGAATATGAGATTTTAGTTGATAGATTCTAAATA